AAATGGGGGGGGAGGGGGGAGGGGTTTGTGCGGGGAGAAGGGTGCAACAATGAATGAATGGAATCCCAAAATCTCTGTAGATGTTCATTGAAATGAAAAAGAAACAACCTAAATTAAAAAAAAATGTGCTGTTGTCGATTGCCGTCGGGTCCAGCACGACTCCTAGCGACCCAATGAACAAAAGGCCTGAAGCCTCTCTCTGACGATCGTCATTTCTCCAGGGTCATAGTTTCCAGGGGCATGTTGTTTAGGAAGTGGGTGCCACTCTTGCGAAGAACAAATCTTAAATTATTTGGTCTCACTATGGACATTATGCTGACTCAAACGGCATTAGTTTCCTGACCAAAGGATCAGAGACCGAGTCCCCTAGATGTTCTCTAGTCTGTGCAACTCCAGTCACAAGCAGTATGAAGTGGAAGTTGCTGGCCGTCACAGCTGAGCCCTCAGACAGGGGGGCCGGCTCATGACGCCACCTGCAATTACAGAAAACTACAATGTGTACGGGCAAATAGCGTACAAATTAAAAGAGCACAGTTAAATCTGAACACTGGGAAAATCCCTGATGTTTGGGGAAGTGAAACTAGCTTTGATACTGCTAAAGACTCATTAGCTCAGGAAACGGACTCACTATGCCCTCCCCAGACGACCCACCCGGAAAGGGGGCAATGCACGTCTGTCCCCTTGAAAGGCAACATTATGGAGCAAAATGAAAAAGAAATTAGGGCTCAGGCAATTACAGATGACTGATTTACACCAAGAATTAGAACTCTCTACTGAAGGGAGCTCTGGTGGCCTAGTGGCAGGAAGCTGCACTGCAATCCCAGAGGTACATGGTTCAAATCCACCAGATGCTCTGCAGAAGGAGGAGGGGCAACCTCCTCCTGTACCAGTCAGATCTGATTTGACGGCACACACACACAAAATAATACAATTTAAAAAAATAAAAAAAAAAATAACTGGCTACTGAAAGAACAGTAAAGGGACCTTGGTGGTGCTGTGGTTAAAGCACTTGGCTGCTAACTAAAAGGACGGCAGTGTGGATCCACCGTGAGGCTTCACGGGAACAAGGCCTGGCCATTTCCCAGGAAGCCTAGTGCCGAGCACAGCCCGCGGTGCACTCCTCTGGCAGACAGCTTGCAACCGGGGGACGCCTGCCAGCAGTCACCAGCACAGCAGGGACACTGCCTCCTGTCCACTTTCCCTGGAAGACATGTCATTTGTAAGCGTCACGTTTTAAAATCTTAGAGGTGAATGGAGTCACGTGCATACATTAAGACTCCACGAAGCAGGGCCTGCTCCTTCAGCGCTCTGTGATGGCACATGCACGCTGGGCAGCTGGACACGAGGTCACACATGTGACCCTGGAGGCCGGGAGATGCCAAAGGCTGACCCAGTCAATGAGGACACAGAGTAAGTAAGCCCAGGAGAGAGAAGATGGTTTTAAAGACAATTAAGATCAAAGGAATCCCCACTACTGGCTGTTGGTGGTGTGACTCTGGCACCCTTCTGATTAACAGTCTTACAGGTGTCTGCAAAGCTGGGCCACTGAGGCAGAACAAGCTTTTCTCTTCTATGGGAAATGATGCCTTCGGCTACAGAGTGGTCCTTCAAGCACTCCCTGCTTTGCACAGAGTATTCCTGTACCATGGCATCCAGAAATCATTATCTCCCTTCTTCAACTGGGCAAACAAAGTGTTGGGAATAGCAATAGCCAACGATAAAGAAATGGTGCCAGAAAATATCATTTTCACTCCCTTTAAAAACACACCCTGCTCTTTGTCAGAATGGAGCAAAGGATGTGTGGCGTGTGCCTGGTGTGGAAATGGGCACACATCAGGGCGGGGTGACAGGGCCTCGCCAACTTAGCTGTTGTTGTTGTTGTTATGTGCCGTCGAGTCGTTTGTGACTCATAGCGACCCTATGTACAACAGCCCTAAACCCTGCTCTATTCTGTGCCAATCTCATTGCCTCTGACACACCCATCCCGATTACCCCAGTCACTGAATCAATCCACCTCATAGAGGGTCTTCCCCTCCTGTGCTGTCCCTCTACGCTACCCAGCATGATGTCCCTCTCTAAAGACCTGTCTCTCCTTACAACATGTTCAAAGTATGTCAGACGAAGCCCCAGAATCCCTGCCTCCAAGGAGCAGCCTGGTTTAACCCTCTCTAGGATGAATCTGTTTGTTTTCTTAGCTGCTGGCTGGCATTTTTTAAAAATTATTTTTTTGTGTGTACCATCAAATCAGATCTGACTGGTACAGGAGATTATCTCTCCTTCTCCAGCAGAGCATCTGGTGGATTCGAACTGTGCACCTCTGGGCTTGCTGTGCAGCTTCTTTCCACTAGGCTACCAGAGCTCCCTTAGCTTGGTGTTTCTGTGCAATGAGAAGCATGAGCTCCGGTTTGCCTCAGAGAAGCAACTGTGTGACTCTGCTGTTGTTGTGCGATGATGTAGCTCTCCAGTTACGACGTACATTTCCCCACAAGCTCGGAGGAGAACTGCTCTGCGGGGTTTCCACAGCCACGAGCTTTTGGAAGCAGATCACCAGGCCTGTCCTCCTCGGCACTTCTGGGTGGGTTTAAAGCACCAACTTCCGAGCTAGCAGTCAAGGCCTTAACCATCTGTGTCACCCAGGGACTCCATAAATGTGACAGGTGGTTCTTTTTGGGAAGAACAGTTCAATTAGGAAGTGATCAGTTGTAATTAGGTAAAGGAAAGCAATGGATTCAACCCCTTTCGATGTGCCTACTCCGGGCTTGGCATTTTCAGGCATGATTTAAGCATGGCTGAGACAGAGCATTGCTCACACCGAAGGCCTCAGTGGAATGTAAGGCTCTCACGGTGCTTGACTGGCAGGACCGGGGTCTCAGCAACAACGCTTTCATATTTGAAATAAAGATGGGATTGCCGTCTGGAGGAGCTTTACACAGAACATGTGCAAGCAGAGTGCCCCGTTTCTCAGAAGGCGGCTGACGCCCTGCTTTGCATCAGTCTCCTGTCTCCGGTGAGGGTCTGCAGTAGAGTGGGTCCCTCCCATGTGGCCTTTTTTTTTTTTTACATAAATTAACCCATTTATTACAGGCTAGAGATGCTGCAAATGGGGGAACGCCTACTGGTCTTTCAGTTCCTTCAGTCTTCTGATGGCTGACTTCACTGTGACGGCTGAGGTGGTGTTGTAGGTCCAGGCGCCACCAGCTATTGTCTTCATGCAAGAACCACAGTGCCAGATGCCCACAGCTCATCTCTTCATTTTGGTTTTGCCGCAGAAGGAAGAAGTGTACTTGGCATGCTGGCTGATTTCAATTTTCTTTACCATCTTCCTGAGCGAGGCACCGTAACGGGTCCCGTATTTACCGACGATGCCGACTTTCTTGGTGCATTTGGCCATTACGCCACAAACAAGAACCAAACCCAGAGAGCCCAT